AGTGCTTCACTAATTGGGTCAGGGATAAGCCTAAGATAAAAGCTTAAGATCTTTTCTGAGAATGCCTCTTGCCTGGGCTTGTGTGTGGCTCTCTCAATTCCTCCATATACATGGCTATTTTTGAATGTCTTAATATCCCAAAGAGTTCATTCCAGCTTTTCACCAGGGACCTAGATGGTCTATTGTATGTCCCCACCTGTCATCTTTTGCCTCAGGTGCCTCTGTATATATAATCTTCCTGAACCTTTCACAAACAGTGACTACTGCTTTTCCCCTAGACTGAGATTCAAGTTAGATGAGACAACTAGTCCTTTAGGAAGCCCCCAGAAAGGGTAGAACATTGCCAGTAAGTTTAATCTGCAACTGGGAATTTGGCTGCTGCATCTTCTAGATGAAGACTGCTGAGCCAGGAGGGAGTGGGGAAATGGTGAGTAAAATTTCCATTAATTTTCCTATCAATTTTAAAGTAAATTTTTCTTGCCTAGGAATTCACTTGGTTACTGTAGCTCTTTGGCTGTTTTTCACAGCTACTGTAAGGTTAATTCAGCCAGTTTCTTGTTTTTTGATGTTTTCATGGAATAAGGGATTGAAACTTTCTAGTTTGGCGTTTTGCTGATATCACACCCTTGAGGAACTTTTGTGTAGTTAAAACAATCAGTTTGAAAAATTAAGCAACATATCAGGCAAAAAAATTGCAATACACTTAGATGAAAGCTAATTTCTGTAATATCCCAAAAAACTCTTACAGTAAATCAATTATACAAATATAAAAACCAAGTAGCAATTTGAACAAACAACACATACAGGTAATTTAAAGAAAAAGAAATGTTACCATTTCTTTTGATGATGTTAAAGTGTATATTCAACTCTTATATTGGCTTATTTCTAGATAAAGTAAAGAATAAGACTAGTATTTTATATAAGCTGTAAACTCTGCATTGGAGCTTTCTAAACTGTGTTAGGTTTATGTATATTAGCTCCATATCTTTATTGTAGGAAACTTTTCCTTGCCCCACCTTTCTTCCACTTTTACTTCTTACTTTTTAAGGACCAGTTCCTATATTCTTATTATAAACCATCTCATGAAACAGATTAAGCTTCCTCTTAGGTGGAAATCAAGAAGTGTGGTCAAAAACAGTTGCCCAGCCTTTCCAACTCTGGGCTTTCTTTTTAATTTTCCCTGTTGATTCAAATTTTGCATTATAGAATAGAGATCAATTACATGAACATTAGTTCTCACCAATGATCAGTTCAATATGATTATGGTAAGTTATTAGTTGCTTTTGATACTTTGAACTTCCTTGTGTGATTGGTTTTTGTCTGCCATTTATGACTGTGGTTGGTTTTGTCTGCCATTTACAACTCCATTCTTTAGATGCCCAGGAGACAGAAGCTTATCAAATTTAATTAAGATGTTTAACATGTAGAATGAAAATGAAGTTGGGCCTAGAATTTTATTTTTTATCTTAGTACATGAATATTAAGTCCAAGGCATAGGGTTTGAAGAGTCCTTAACCATATCATGGGACTGTAGATAAAGGAGAGTGAGACCTCATTCATACTAACACACTTCACAGATTTATAAGAGACTGAAAGATATCACCACTTTTCAACTACCTTGAAAAATTTCTAAATAAATAAGTAAGTAAGTTTAAGTTAAACCAGAAGCTCTGTGTGTCATATATTGATTTCCTTTTTCAGAAGGGAAGTTCAAGTTTAATTTTGTTCAGTACATGTTAGAGTAGTGGGAAGGACATAGCGTTATTTCCTCTCTTGTTAAAGTTCTTGCTGAATTGTCTGGGCAAGCTTAATTTAAAACAGCTGAAGTCAATGAGCAGAAATAGAAATGGTACTGGTAAGAGGAACTGTACCTTTACATTAAAGAAAGAGTTCAGAAACCAAAAAAAGAGAAAGAAATGCCTGCTAGAATTTCAGATGGTACAGAGTAGGATCATGTCCTTTCTAAAAGGCAGCTATGAAGGGAGACCAGTGAGCACAATTTAAAATGCCTGCCTATCTGGGGCGCCTGGGTGGCTTAGTTGGTTAAGCGGCTGCCTTCGGCTCAGGTCATGATTCCAGGGTCCTGGGATCGAGCCCCGCATCGGGCTCCCTGCTCGGCGGGGAGCCTGCTTCTCCCTCTCCCTCTGCCTGTCTCTCTGCCTACTTGTTCTCTCTCTCTATCTCTGTCAAATAAATAAATAAAATCTTTAAAATGCCTGCCTATCTAATGCTCTGAGGCAAACATAACTCTTTATCTAGGTCCATAGTGCATTAATCACATTACAAACCCATGAGAAGTTTTATTGATGAAGAGGTACAACCTTACTTTGACTTCCTGTTAACACAGGGAAGACTGATTAGTCCAATTTATTGCAGAAATTCTTAAGAACTATGCTAAATTAAACCTGTGTGTGATATTGACTCTTCAATATCCAACAGCTCCCTGGCAATTGGATATTCAATGTTGACCCAAGTTTAAATATTCCTCAATAATTAGTTCTCTATTTGGACCTCATAGAATCTGGCAACAGTATAATTATTTTCTCTAAAGTAACCTGTCTTTTCACATAGTCTGTTTTCCCCACAATTTCAACTCTCTATATATATGTTGTCAGAAATTGCAGTGAAGCAATCTTCATGTCTAAATTAATTTATATGGAAAATTGTAAACACTGTCCCATATAGCCTTCAGTAGTCTAGTTTTATAGATGTTGATGATGATGAAAACCATAATTAAGCCTTCCTTTACAAATCTTATGATGAAGTGAAAAAATTTCCTAGTGATTATACATTGTCTTCAATCATCAAAAGATTCTTTGCCTCACATTAAAAAGGCTGTAATTGTCCTTCAAAAACAATGTCTAGGGGAGCCTGGGTGGCTCAGTCATTAAGTGTCTGCCTTGGCTCAGGTCATGATCCCAGGGTCCTGGGATTGAGCCCCGCATCAGGCTCCCTGCTCGTTGGGGAGCCTGCGTCTCCCTCTCCCACTCCCCCTGCTTGTGTTCCCTCTCTCGCTGTGTCTCTCTCTGTCAAATAAATAAATAAATAATCTTTAAAAAAATAAATAAAAATAAAAACAATGTCTAATTTATTAAGAATTATTATTAGGAGCAGGCAGAGAAGGACAGAGGGTCTATAGTTCCATAAATTTGTAAGTAGCAAATTACCAATTACTTTTGGCTTATAACTGCCAGACATTTCCCTTAAAAAGGGAAAAATGAGCTTTGTCACTATAGCACCTACCACCGTAATAGCTAAATAAGTTAATGTATAATTAAGGAATGTGCAGTGGAGAGAAACTGACCTGAGATGTATTCAGAAACTAGCAAGAATTGAGGACTATTAATATCTGGATGTAAACTGTTGCATTATGAGATGATCAATAAAAAGTATTTGGAAAAAGGCATTCATTAGTTCAATCAACATTATGGAAAATCTAATATGCGAAAGGAGTCATAAAGCATAAGAGATGGGTGTGTCGGATTGTCGAGGGAATGTTTTTCATTTATCTAATGATACATAACATACCACTCAAAATTTGAGGGGAGGGGGTTAAAACAACAACAGTCATTTATTTGCTTACTCTTCCATAATTTTGGCAGGACCTGGGGACAACTCATCTCTGCTCCATGTGACTCAATCGGGATTGGAAGATCCACTCCCAATATGGCTTACTCATATGGACAGCAAGTTGAGGCTGATTGTCTCCTAGGTGCTCAGTGGAGTTGTTGACCAGACTCAATTCTCCTCCATGTTGCCTTTGCAGAAGCCTAGGTTGGGCTTCTCACCACACACCAACAGAGTTCTGAAAGGAAGAAGGTGAGTGCCAATGTGCAAATGCTTATCAAGTCTTGGCTCACTTCATGCTTAATAATATCCTGTTGGCCAACTCTAGTCACATGACCAAGCCCAGAGTCGATGTGGGAAAAAATAATGCAAAGAGCCTGGTTCACTGGAGGCCAAAGTACCAGCCTACCATGGAAAAGTGGCTGGAGAGTTATAATACAAAGAACATACCTTGTTCTGCTTCAAGGAGCTCACAGAGAAGAAACATTTTGAATACTATTAATGTTTTACTGCATATTGCAATGGGTAGATGTGAGGGACGATCTTTTACTCAGGACAATTGTTTGCTTATGGTATTATATTATAGATAGGATAAATGAAAAATCAGAAAAGCATGACCATGAGCCCAGTGACCACAAGATGGTTCCAACTAAGGCTGAGGCCCAAGGGGAGGACATTTTGCATCATGATACAGACCTGTTTTCTTGCCCTCCATTCTTCAATCGAGTCAATCTAGGGACATGTTTTAACTGATCCAGGCTGTTTTATTACTATACTTGTCTGAATAACGAAGCATTATAGTAACTTGTGGTATATCCTTAGGCAAATCCCTCACCATGCTATTTCCTCATTTCTCAAACAAGGGATTCAAATTAGGTGATTTCTACAGTTCCTTCTAAGTGTTATATTTTACTATATAACAATATAGTTGGTAACATTATATCCTATTATATCAATAATGAGAAATGTGTTCTTTTCCTGACAAGCACATTCCTTTAACTAGTCAGTAAAGTTTATTGAGAACTAACTGGTGAATCTGGACTTCTCTGGGCCCATCTGTTTGCTCCCTAACAGGCTCTAACTATGGAAACTGGAGTAGCATGAGTTAGGACTGGCTTTTGGCTTTGCAGGGGCCAGCAGTTTCTCTATTGAGAACTAGGTGCCTTCTTGGATCAAAAGGTTAATTTCTGCATTACTTATCATTCTGGGTTGCTAAGAAGATAAGGGACGTGAAAGTATTTAGCTTTGATTAGGGATTGAGGTTTTTTCTCACTCTGACCATACTCTACTAGGTTCTGACAGTTTTGCATCAGTCTTTGGGAAAAAATAGAGGACTTCACTCTCAGGTATCTGCTAACCTCTAGAGTACTAGCCCTGCCCACACCAAGGGAGGTCCCACTTTTTCAGCTTTTCTGTTGCTAAATCTGTGACCCTTTTAATGAAACCCAAGGGACTGTACACGAGGCAGAAAAGCAAGACATTTTTAAGAAGCAATTTAATATTTCTCTTCCTGATATTGTGCTTTTTTCCCTTTGCCTTCTTAGAATCCAAGAACTGTAAGAAGCTTGCTTTTTTTTTTTTTCTTTTTTTAGTTTCACTTTCGAGATTGCAGCAGATCTGCCATGCCTCCCTGGTGAGAACGACTGAATTCGGACTAATGAAAAAAGGAATGGTCAGCTGTTATCAGAGTAAATGAAGGTACATCTTTAAGATTATTACTGGGATAGGATCTCTCATGTTGGCTAGAACTGGGACTGCACGTTGGTTTTAGTATTCTTTGGTCTTTCTTTGGTGTGGTGCTTGAAATCTAGTCAGAATCAACAAGGAGAATGGAAGAAAAGAGAGATGATAGAGGTGTGGGGAGAAGTGTATCATAACTCAGTGTACATGTAATAGCAAGAATTTATAATTAACATAATAAAATCCTTTAGACAGTAATTAATTTTTTTTTTCTTTGTGGATTTCTGGACCTGGAAAAGCACATTAGGAAATTTATGGAGATCATTTTGCAATAGCCTTTTTTAAAAAAAAATCGTATATTTGGGGTGCTTGGGTGGCTCAGTTGGCTAAGCATTTGCCTTCAGCTCAGGTCATGATCCCGGGGTTCTGGGATCAAGCCCTGCTTGGGGCTCCCTGCTCAGTGGGAAGTCTGCTTTTCCCTCTGTCCCTCTGCCTCACCTCCCCAACCCCCTGCTCTTGTGTGCTTTCTCTCTCAAATAAATAAAAAAATAAAATCATATCTTTGTCTGAAAGTTCAGAGCCCTGTGAGCTTGAAAGAGTTTCTCTCCTTTTCTCAGTTGTGTTGACTGGAGAGGAGACGGAAGCTGGCATTTTAGGATAATGTGCTTGAAAAGGAGAAAACACTTCAGGTGTTCCTGGGAGTACAAAAGTGGCTTCTTTGACCTCATAAAGGAAAGTGGAGGAAGGTGACAAGTAGAAAGGCATTTAGATGTATAGGAAGATCAGAAAGCAGCACTGGCAAATGCAGGCGCTTCAGATGAAATCTGAGTCAGCCTTGGGCTGTAGTAGCTCAGGAAGTTACCTCCCAGTTTCGCAATAGCATTGTGTGTTCATGTGTGTCTGCAGTTAGGTGTTACCTGTATACATTCAGGGGGGAAAAAAAAGTATTGTGAAGTGCACAAACCAAACTGGAGAAGCCAACTAAATAAATAGTGGTTAGCTCTAAGTAGCCTGGCTCCAGACTCCATGTCTTTATCATGATGCAATATTATCTCTCACTACAGACACATGTAATTCGATGTACCCTGAAAGGCCTTTCTAAAATTGCAAGGCCCACTGAGTCCTATTTTCCATCTTTTTAGCTTTCTTTGCTTCTATTATGTCTCATACAATAGCAATTTTTTCCCTTCTGTTTCATCCTCTAACTGTATTTTCATTTGTTTCACTGAATCAAATTCCAGAATAACTTTTGCATACAATTTGCATAGTTATAAAGTTACCAAACCTTTGCATATTTCAAAATGCTTTCCCCCTTATCGTGAGTTGTTCAGCCGGAAATGAAATTTAGGTTCAGTTTCCCCTGATCATTTTGGAAGCTCATCACTACTGTTTTCTAGTGGCTGATGTTGCTGATGAAAAGTTTTCTACCATTCAGGATCTTTTTCTTTTGGAAGTAATTGATCATATGTTCTCCTTTGAAGGTTTTAGGATTTTTTTTTTTTACTTGTGAATGGCCATAATTCCGAAGTTTCATAAGATTCTCTCTGTGGATTTTCATTTTTCACTCCTCCTGCCTACCATTTGGTGAGTCTTTTCCATGTGATGAATGTATTTTCAGATCTGGGAATGTCTTTCAGTCCTTCAGGGATATTCTTTGTGAATAGATTAGTCCTTTTCAGTAATTCTGATCTTTATCTATAGCCCTTCCAGAAGAGATAAATGTCACCCAGACAAGGAAGAGAATATATTGCAGGGACTGTAAGTGTGAGTTGGTAAATACAAGTAGAAGCATTTGTGGTACAGGGAAGAGAGGTTTGGGGAGTTAGTTCCTGATTTCCAGAATGTATCATTTCCAGCTCCAAATTTTTCATGTACCTGAGCAATTTGGTGAGGGGCCTCATAGCTGGCCTGGGCTGTGATCTTTGTCATAGCCTATAAATATAAAAACTGTGTATAGCTTTAACAATACTTAGTGCCAGTATTATAAAGGCCATAAAATAATTAATAGAAACTGACTTTTCTTCTGTTTCTGAGAACTAGATTAGAATAAAAGTAAAACCACTATATTTTAAAAGCCGATTAGAACAATTACAAATACTCATACTAGTTCTATTTTCCTACAATTAATCCTCTAAAATGATGTTATTCTCTAAAACTTATCTGGAATTCTTCTTGTGACATGACTTTTAGAGCTTATGGAAAACCTAACTTATTTAAATATCATTTTTATTGATCCATCTGCATACACTGAAGATGTATTTGATTTTTTAAAATATCTGTAAGTGAAACTAGGTAATTGATCATACCAGAGACTATCACATTAGGTACATATCCCACCAAAATAAAGTTGTGACCATTTACGGAGGTAAGAGAGGTTTTCTTAAGCTGATTAACTGCCCATGGAAAGCTATTCATTCAACATGTATTTATTCAATACTTGCTATGGTCCAGTCATTGTTCTAGACACAGGCAAAGCAGTACAGAGTAAAGACAACCATGTCCTCTACTATTATAACTTTATACTCTAGTCAGATGGAATAGTTAATTAAATAATAAGTAAAATTATTTCAGATAATTCCCATCAACCATGGCACGGAAAAAGCAATCTAGGAAAAGAATAACAAATAGAAGGATTTACGCTTTTGGGGCTCCTGGGTGGCTTAGTCGTTAAGCGGCTGCCTTAGGCTCAGCTCATGATCCCAGGTGCTGGGATGGAGCCCCGCACTGGGCTCCTTGTTCAGCAGGAAGCCTGCTTCTCCCTCTCCCAATCCCCCTGCTTGTGTTCCCTCTCTCGCTGTGTCTCTCTCTCTGTCAAATAAATAAAATCATTAAAAAAAAAAAAGAAGGATTTACGCTTCTGAATTCAAGGTTTACTATAAGGCCACAGTAATCAAAACAATGTGGTGTTTGTGTAAGAACTGACAAATATTTCCATGTAAGAGAGTGGTGAGCCCAGATATAGACCCACACTTAAATCCACCCACACTTACTTGGTTTTTTTTGTTTGTTTGTTCTTTTTTTTTTTAAAAGATTTGTTTATTTATTTATTTATTTATTTATTTATTTGAGAGAGAGAGAATGAGAGACAGAGAGCATGAGAGGGAGGAGGGTCAGAGGGAGAAGCAGACTCCCTGCCGAGCAGGGAGCCCGATGCGGGACTCGATCCCGGGACTCCGGGATCATGACCTGAGCCGAAGGCAGTCGCTTAACCAACTGAGCCACCCAGGCGTCCCTTATTTGGTTTTTAAGAAGGTTACTGAAGCAATCCAGTGGGGGAAGGAAAAGGAAAAAAAAAAGTCTGACAAACTGGGTGTGCAACTGAAAAAAATGAACCTTGACTCTTCCTTCGCATCACACACAACATTTTATTAAAGAGAGATCACAGGCCTTAACCTAACACCTAAAACCACAATCTTTTCTTAAAAAAGCATAATTTGGGGGTAGGCAAAGTTTCTTAGACAGGACACAGAAAGCAGTAATATTAAAAAAAAAGATAAATTAGACTTGATCATAATTATGAAGATATCATCATTCATTAAGAAAATGAGTAGGGGGGCGCCTGGGTGGCTCAGTTGGTTAAGCGACTGCCTTCGGCTCAGGTCATGATCCTGGAGTCCCTGGATCGAGTCCCGCATCGGGCTGCCTGCTCGGCAGGGAGCCTGCTTCTCCCTCTCCCACTCCCCCTGCTTGTGTTCCCTCTCTCGCTGTGTCTTTCTCTGTCAAATAAATAAATAAAATCTTTAAAAAAAAAAAATGAGTAGGTAACCCACAAAATGGGAGAAAACACAAATATAAATCTGACAATAGACTGATACTTGTGTATATAAAAAATTCCTAAAATGCAATAATAAATAAGAAACAACCTAATTTTAAAAATGAGTGAAATCTTTGGGCGCCTGGGTGGCTCAGATGGTTAAGCGTCTGCCTTCGGCTCAGGTCATGATCTCAGGGTCCTGGGATCGAGTCCCGCATCGGGTTCCCTGCTCAGTGCAGAGCCTGCTTCTCCCTCTCCCTCTGCCACTCCCTCTGCTTGTGCTCTTCTGTCTATCTCTCTGTCAAAATAAATAAATAAAATCTTAAAAAAAAAATGAGTGAAATCTTCAAATATACAAGGGAAAATACACAAATGGATAATAAGCATATAAAAATTGTTAAATATCATTAATCAGCCAAAAAATGAAAATTAAAAACCATAATGAGATATTACTACACACTCACTGGAAAGAGTGAAAAATAATAGTGACAAATGTTGGTAAAGATGTTGGGGGGGTGTAAAATGGCATAAACTTGACTAAAAGATCCGGCAGTTTCTTATAAAAGTAATTATACTCTACCTTACCGAATGCCCAACAATTTCAATCATGGGTAATTATCCCAAAGAAATCAAGTATATGTGTCCATAAAAACATGTACAAAGATGTTCATAGTAACTTCATTCATAATTGTGTAAACTTCACACAATCCATGTGTGTAATCATATCAGCATGGATAAAATATATTTATACAATGGCATACCATTTAGTTAAAAAAAATACTATTTAGTTAAAAAAAAAAAGACTACCCCAAAACAAACAACATGGATGAACTTCAAAAATATTTGAGTGAAATATCTCTTATTTAAGAGAGTGAATATGATCCCATTGATAGGAAGTTATAAATCACGCAACACTATAGTAGAAAAAAGTCAGAGCTATGACGGTCTCTGGGAGACAGGGATTAGAATGAACTGGAAGGCAATGGGGGAACTCTTTAGGGTTTAGGTTACACAGGTGCATACACGTGTTGAAAGTCAGAGAATGTACACTAAAGATTTGTGCATTTCGTTGTATGCAAATTTTATATCAAAAGAAAAACTCAGCAAATACTGAACCGAAAGTAGCAATGCACACTCTTTTAGAGGGAAAGGTACTGATGTTGCAGTGTACTTTGGTGAACTGGTGGATAGAGGATGGATAGATGGGTAGATATATGATAGTGGAAGAGTGTTCACTGTAAAATTCTGTGAGTTGTGCTGTTGTTTAGGACTTTTCATTAAAAATGCTAGAAAAAAGTAACTGTGGTAGAGCCATATTCTGTATGAATGGAAATGAGCAAATACTGCTATAGGACAAGATGTGGATCAGTCTCACAAACATAATATGGAATTTAAAAAAGGCATACAATGATACACAGCGCAGAATTCCATTAACATGTAATACAAAAGCAAGTAAACTTAATCTTTCTGTGTATGACATAATGAAGTGTTTGTCTGGGGAAGGAGGAGGTGGTGGCTGGGCAAGAGCATGAGGGAGGTTTCTGGGGGGCTCATTGTCCTCTATTTCCTGCTATGAGTGGTGAATGCACTGACATGCTCTTGATGAAAATTCAACAAGCTGTACATTCATGATTTGTATACTGTTCTGTATATATTTAAAATATAATTACTGGGGCGCCTGGGTGGCTCAGTCATTAAGCGTCTGCCTTCGGCTCAGGTCATGATCCCAGGGTCCTGGAATTGAGCCCCGCATAGGGTTCCCTGCTCCTCAGGAAGCCTGCTTCTCCCCCTCCCACTCCCCCTGCTTGTGTTCCCTCTCTCGCTGTGTCTCTCTCTGTCAAATAAATAAAATCTTTAATATATATATATATAATTACTAATATTTAAAAAGTACATATATAATACAAATCCTGATACAAAAAGCTGAGCTTTTATCTAGAAATATAGAATAAAAAGATAAAAACATGGAATATGAAAGGAAATTTTATTTTTTTAAAGATTTATTTATTTTAGAGAGAAATAGAGAGCAAGAGTGCAAGAGCAAGGGGCAGGGGAGGGGCAGAGAGAGAAGCCTTAAGCAGACTCCCTGCTGAGGAGGGAGACTGACTCAGGGCTGGATCCTGGACCCTGAGATCCTGACCTGAGCTGAAACCAAGAGTTGGATGTGTAACTGACTGAGCCACCCAGGTGCCCCTAAAAGGGAACTTTAAATACAAATAAGATCACATGATGGGCCAGTTTTTTCCCTAAAAGTGGTTTCAAAGGAGAGAACACAGGAAAAGAAAGAGGGGAAATGATCCAAATAGTGATAGAAAAAGAAAGCTAAAAATTTAAGGAATACCTGAGTCCTCAGACCGAAAATGCCTTAGGGTGTATATCTACATTTTAGAGGAAAGATTTAGCATGAAATATCCTTTTGAAATTTTACATTACCAAGGATAAAGAAAAAGACACTTCCAAAGAGAAAACAGAGAGTAAAATAAAGTTATCTTCTATATAAAGGAAAGAAAACCAGATGGGCATGATTTCTTCTTAGCAACAATGGATACTAGAAGACAATGGAATAATGCCTTCATGACTTGGCAGAAAAAGTATTTTGAACCTCAAATAGCCTACACGCCAAAATCATATGACAAAAGAACAAAAACAAATATTCAAGAACTTAAAAGAGAAAACCTCCTATAAGTATTTTGGGGAAAGAGGGGCAAGAGCTACTCAAGGAGACACTTTAGTCAAAAATATTTCAAGAAAGAAGGTACTGAAATCCATGATAGTGACATTAACCCAGGAATATGGTGGAATGGATTCCAAGATGATAACCAAATAGCAGGTGTTAGACATATCCCTCCAAACTAGTCATTTACCCAAGAGAATGATGAAGAAGGTAATTGATCTTGGTGTTACAGAAATGAAATCACATATTGTGCTTTTCTCAAAAAGGCACTGCGTTAAACTGGGATGGAGGTGAAGGGTGAGGAGGGAGTTTGTATGCTCCATTTCTTACTTTTCTGTGCTATTTGAATTATTTCCATTTGATATATTGCTTGTATAATACATACTTGTATATCATAGAAGTTGTGAGTCAAAAGATCATACGTAGTCACATTGGTTATCTGTTTTACAAGGAAAATACCAATGCCTGTGAAGGCCTATGTTACTAATGTCTCTTACTTGTTTACATTTCTTTTAGAGGGGAGAATCATGAACCAGAGTTTACCTTTTCATATCTACTTCTTTTTGGGACTGTTGCCCTTGTGGATACCGTGTACATCCTCTGCCAATAAATGTGTTGTTAGACATGAAATAGCTGACTGCAGCCATCTGAAGTTGACTCAAGTGCCTGATGACCTTCCGGCAAACATAACAGTGTTGAATCTCACCCATAATCAGCTCCGAAGATTACCATCTGCCAATTTTACAAGATATAGCCAACTTACTATCTTGGATGGAGGATTTAACTGCATCTCAAAACTGGAGCCAGAATTGTGCCAAAAACTCCCTCTGTTGGAAATTTTGAACCTCCAACACAATGAGCTATCTCACCTTTCAGATCAAACTTTTGTCTTCTGCATGAATTTGACTGAACTCCATCTAATGTCCAATTCAATCAAGAAGATTCAAAATAATCCCTTTCAAAACCTGAAGGTAAGATGAAAATGTTCATCTCCATATAAAAATTTAAAAATATGTTATCTCATGTTAAGTTTTCAAGTCACTTATGAATCTTTAGACTTTGTATCTAAATATCAAGGTGAAGAATAAGAAAACCAATCTTACCCCATTTATGTTTGAAAATGTTTTCAAAAGGGAAAATAGCATCTTAAACCAATTTCAGTCGTAAATTTTTTTTTAAAGATTTTATTTATTTATTTGACAGAGACACAGTGAGAGAGGGAACACAAGCAAGCAGGGGGAGTGGAAAAAGGAGAAGCAGGCTTCCCGCTGAGCGGGGAGCCCGATGTGGGGCTCGATCCCAGGACACTGGGATCATGATCTGAGCCGAAGGCAGATGCTTAACGACTGAGCTACTCAGGCACCCCCTTCAGTCTTAATTTTTAAAGAACTTTTGCCTCTCTTGCTCCCTCCCATTAAAAATTTAACTTAGACACAAGAGGTAGAGATCAAAGAAGAATCTGATCTGTGATAACCAAAGAAGAATCAGAATATACCACGAGGAACACAGCAAATAAAACTCTGAGTGCTGCTGATTTAGTACCTGAAGTAATAATAAAAAATGCCATATCCAAATTCTGACTTAAATGAAGTTAACAAATTGATGAATGATAAAGCAAATTGTTCAATTAAAAATTATGTACTCTTGGGGCGCCTGGGTGACTCAGTCATTAAGCATCTGCCTTCGACTCAGATGATCCCAGGTCCTGGGATCGAGCTCCGCATCCGGGCTCCCTGCTCCGCGGGAAGCCTGCTTCTCCCTCTCACCTCCTCCTGCTCTGTTCCTTCTCTCGCTGTGTCTCTCTCTGTCAAATAAATAAATAAAATCTTTAAAAAAGAACAACTACGTACTCTTGATTTAAGAACTCTCTTTACAAGATTGCTTTTCCAACGGCCACCATCTTTTTTTTCAGTGCTTTGCTTGAATTTTGCATGTGTGAAAATGTATGTTATTGTCTCTCAATCTGAGACAATTATTAAGTACTTTTCTTAAACCAAAGCCATTTTTAAAACTCTGTTTTCTTCATTTTATGGACCTAGAAAAAATTTGGCATTCTTTGACCTCATGTGCCAAGAATAGTGTACAAACTTAAATATGCTTTAAAACATTTATAAAATGATTTGCTTGCTAGTGATTTGAAAATTCTTTCTTGTGCCTCCTTAGATTCTGAAGTGGACGAAATGTCTTTGGACACAAAGACCTCAAAATCTGGTTAGAGTAATCCTTGGCAAAATGTTCTTTTATTTTTAAAACATAAATAAAAGTCTTACTCTCTTTGAACACATTGCATAAGATTCTGGCCTAATATATATCAGCTTTTCATTACCTTTTACCCGAGTGGAAGTCTGTGTGTTAAAAAGTAGCACTAGGGTGGTAAAATGTCCCACGAAACAAACAAAAATGAATATTCTGCACTAGTCATGATGCAGACTTTACGTAAGTGTCAGTCTTTCTCAATATAAAAAATCTTTTTAGGATTTCATGGACAGCAAAGTTCTACTCACACTTCTTTAAGAAGAAAATTTTTTCTTCTTTTTTTCTGTTGTTTAGTTTCAAGGCTGATGATGCATGACACTCTATGTTTGTTAAGCCACATGAATATTCCTCACATCATAAAGAAATGCTTATTATAAACAAATGCTTATTTTTTAAGATTTTATTTATTTTTGTGAGAGAGAGAGAGCGTGAGTGCACAAGTGGGGGTTGGGGGGGCAGACTGAGAAGAAGACTCCCTGCTGAACAGGGAGCCCAATGCAGGGCTTGATCCCAGGACCCTGAGATCATGACCTGAGCTGAAGGCAGATGCTTAAGCAACTGAGCCACCCAGGTACCCCTAAATAAATGCTTATTATGAATACTCCTTATATCATGAATAAATGAGCTTAAGTCCTTTTGTTTTGGTAAGAGAAATAAAATGATTCTTTTTTAAATGAATCTTGAAATAAGAAACACAATGCTTGCAATAATGGTATTTTCAATCACACAAAGATTTTTTTATTACTCCTACTGTAAGTTTTCTAGAATAGTAGAGAGGTAACTTTTTGCTGTTATTTCTGAGTTATTTCTAAGATTCAAGTACATTTAAAGGAACTATTTTTGGAGGCAAGACTAACGTACATCTTTTTTCTTTCTCAGAATTTAATCAAATTAGATCTATCTCATAATGGTTTATCATCTACTAAATTAGGAAGTCAGCTCCAACTGGAAAATCTCCAAGAGCTTCTGTTATCAAATAATAAAATTAATGTACTGAGACCTGAAGAACTTGATTTCCTTGGTAATTCTTCTTTAAAAAAATTAGAGTTGTCATCAAATCCAATTAAAGAGGTAAGAAGTAAGGTAAAATTATTTTGTGTTCTACCTTTAAGTGTGGGCAGTCCCTAACTGTGTCACATGGATAAGAATCTAAAGATTCCCAGAGAAAGGGGTGATAACGTTTGCCACGTCTTCCAGAAATCCTTCATACTTCCTGCTTGGGGACACTGATGTCATCCTCACAGAAAGAGAGAGTCCGGTAGCAGTAAGGAGCTGAGGCTCTGCTGCCTAATAGAAGTGGGTTAAAATCCCTGTTCCAATTACAGGCTAGTACTTGGACTTTGGGGAACCTACTTAACCTCTCTGGGTCTTACTTTCCTCACTTGTAAAGTGGAAACAATACTATTTATCCCATAAAATCTCTGAAAGAATTAAAATAGCGTGATAGTTAAGAGAATGGGCTTTAGAGTTGGGTTAGCTAGCTCTGCATCCGGGCTTTCTCTCCTAATGATTGTGTAATCAGGCAAATTATTCAAATTCTTCATGCTCCAGTTCCCCAACTGTAAAATTGGTAAAATAATAACTATGTCATAGGCTGTACGGTAAAGAATTTAGCAGTGTCTGGCATGTAAGTGCTCCATAAATGATAACTAGCATTAAAATATAAAAATCCTCCTATAATGGGATCTACCTAACTAACCTTCTCTTTGGATCCATGATAGTCAATTCATTAACTACTTTCATATACAGATATGTCTGCATTTTATTCCTTTACAGGCTGAGAATAAGAATATTGGAAATCATAAACTAAGTCAGATTTTTAAAAGCTGTATTCATTTTCAGAATAAAAATAGACTATGTATTGGTCCTGAGATAATATAATATAAACAAACAACAAATGAACATTTTACTCAATACTCGGGCTAAGTTTTGAACAGCATTTTTTAAATTTAGAACATTTGTTGTAGAAGTCTTATAAAATATGTAAGTAGTGGGGGGGAGGGGATAAAAATCATCCCAAAGTCCATATTCCAGAGACAGCCAGTATTAGCATTTAGGTATTTTTAGCTCCAGCTTTTCTCCAAGTGATAATAAGAAAAAACAACAGCAGGTGGAATTCAGAGTACAAATTCAAAATACACTGTGTGTCAGACACTGTGATAAGTTCTATATACATATATGTTTTTTAAAAAATTTTTTTACCTAGTCCTGTAACTAAATTATTCTTTTTTTTAATTCTTATGTTAATCCCCATACATTACATCATTAGTTTTAGATGAAGAGTTCCATGATTCATTGTGTAACTAAATTATTCTTATCATCATTTTACACAAGGGTAAATTGAGATAAGGAAGGATTGAGGAACTTGCCCAAGGTCTCACAAGTGGTTATCTGGTGACAGAACTGGGTTTCTGGCAGTGTCAGATCAGAGCCCATGCTCTCCACAGCTGTTCCGTATTGCCTCCCTCCGGCGACAGCGTATCCTGCCATTTAAAAGTAATATCATATGGAATATGACTCAGCCGTCAGAAAGGATGAATACCCAACTTGTGCATCAACATGGATGGGACTGGAGGAGATGATGCTAAGTAAAAGAAGTCAAGCAGAGAAAGTCGGTTATCATACCGTTTCCCTTATTTGCGGAACATAACGAATAGCATGGAGGACATTAGGAGAAGGAAGGGAAAAATGAAGGGGGCAGAAATCGGAGGGGGAGATGAACCATGAGAGACTATGGACTCCAGGAAACAAACTGAGGGTTCTAGAGGGGAGAGGGTGGGGGCATTGGTTAGCCTGGTGATGGGTATTAAGGAGGGCACGCACTGCATGAAGCACTGGATGTTATACGCAAAGAATCGTGGAACACTACATCAAAAACTAATGATGTAATGAAGGGGACTGACATAATAAAAAAGTAATATCATATCATGAACATTCTCCATATCATTAAGAATTATTCAAAAACTCAATTTTGATTACTGTAAAATAGTGCTGTCATGTAAGCTCATCCTAATTAATTTAACAATCTTCTGCTTCGTAGTCCAATTCCCTTTACTTACAGTGAAGTACACTTTCTTCCCCATTTTTGCCTTTTCTTCCATTAGCCTTCACATCTCACTAAATGACACGCAGTAGGAGTCGGAGCCTTTGCTCTCCTGGTGTTGAACCACCACCCAGGACTGGCTACTGCCCTCTGTATTCCTTCCCTCCTGCTGCCTCTGTTCTCTCCTTCTGGCGCTGAACCCCACCCAAGGCTTCTGGTGAGGGAGTGGGGTCAGAGCAGAAGGGATCTGGAAGCACTATCATGAAATAAAGTCAGGAGAAAAAACTGTAGTGGAAAGACAAAGAGCAAGGCTGGAGCTCAGAGTCACAGAAGGACAAGTGGGAGTCATTGTTTCATAATACAATCCACCCTTTCATTTCATGTGCTCATTGAGAACTGCGGTCATCAAGACAAACAGGATCTGCCCCAGTGGTGACTTTACAAATACCTTATTAATTACAATTATACTCAGATCAAGTAAAAGCACCAGGCACCTAACCTAGACTGGGAGGTCAGGGAAGGCCCCCTGACGAGGAGACCCTTAAATGCTTGGTGGAAGGTAGTCAGAGGCCCGGAAGGGTAAGGGGTTGGAACAGGAGGGGGGTGTTGCAGGCACAGAGTAAGGAGCGGTGCAGTGGAGGTGTGGGGAAGAAATGCAGAGAAGATGGTGAAGGGGAATGGGACTGAGTAAAGAATTGTTTAAGCTTTTCAAGAGTCATGCAGATGCCACTGTGTTTTGGTTATTAACCTCCTTTCCCCCCCAACTTTAGTTCTCTCCAGGGTGTTTTCATGCAATTGGAAAATTATTTGGCCTCTCTCTGAACAATGCTCAGCTGACCCCCAGCCTCACAGAGAAGCTCTGTTTGGAACTGTCAAACACAAGCATTCAGAATCTATCCCTGAGCAACGCCCAGCTGTACAGAACAAGCAATATGACTTTCATTGGATTGAAAGACACAAATCTCACCATGCTCGATCTTTCCCACAACAACTTAAATGTGATTGAGAATAATTCCTTTGCTTGGCTTCCACATCTAGAATATTTCTTCCTGGAGTATAATAGCATAGAGCATTTGTTTTCTCGCTCCTTTTATGGGCTTCTCAATGTGAGATACCTGGATTTGCGACGCTCTTTTTCTAAACAAAGCATTTCCCTTGCTTTGCATCCCAAGATTGATGATTTTTCCTTTCAGTGGCTAAAATGTTTGGAGTATCTTAACATGGAAGACAACAACTTTCCAGGCATAAAAAGCAATATGTTCATGGGATTGATAAAGCTGAAACACTTAAGTCTCTCCAACTCCTTCGCAAGTTTGCGAACTTTAACCAATGAAACATTTTTGTCCCTTGCTCAGTCTCCTTTAGTCACACTCAATCTAACCAAAAACAAAATCTCAAAAATAGAGAGTGGTGCTTTTTCTTGGTTGGGCCACCTACAGGTACTCGACCTTGGCCTTAATGAAATCGGGCAAGAACTCACAGGCCAAGAATGGAGAGGTCTAGAAAATATTTTTGAAATCTACCTTTCCTACAACAAATACCTACAACTGACTAGCAGCTCTTTTGTCTTGGTTCCAAGCCTCCGACGACTAATGCTCCGAAGAGTGGCCCTTAGAAATGTGGACAGCTCCCCTTCACCTTTTCATCCTCTTCAAAACTTGACTATTCTGGATCTAAGCAACAACAATATAGCCAACATAAATGCTGAACTGTTGGAGGGTCTTGAGAAACTAGAAATTCTGGATTTGCAGCATAACAACTTAGCAAGGCTATGGAAACATGCAAACCCCGGTGGTCCTGTTCATTTTCTAAAGGGTCTTTCTCACCTCCACATTCTTAATTTAGAGTCTAATGGCTTTGATGAGATCCCAGCAGAAGTATTCAAGGACTTACTTGAATTAAAAAGCATTGATTTAGGATTGAATAATTTAAATATATTTCCACCATCTGTCTTTGATGGTCAGGCATCTCTAAAGTCATTGAACCTTCAGAAGAATCTCATAACGTCAGTTGAGAAGAATGTTTTTGGGCCAGCCTTCAGGAACCTGAGTAATTTAGATATGAGCTTTAATCCATTTGATTGTACCTGTGAAAGTATTGCCTGGTTTGTTAATTGGATTAACAGGACCCATACCAACATCTCTGAGCTATCAAGCCATTACCTCTGCAATACTCCACCTCAATATCATGGTTTCCCCGTGATGCTTTTTGATATATCACCCTGCAAAGACAGTGCCCCCTTTAAACTCTTTTTCATAATAAATACCAGTGTCTCACTGATTTTTATCGTTATCGTACTGCTTATCCATTTTGAAGGCTGGAGGATATCTTTTTACTGGAATGTTTTAGTGCATCGAATTCTTGGTTTCAAAGAAATAGACAGACAGCCAGAGCAGTTTGAATATGCAGCGTATATAATTCATGCCTATAAAGATAAGGATTGGGTCTGGGAACACTTCTTTTCAATGGAAGAAAAAGATCAAACTCTCAAATTTTGTCTCGAAGAAAGGGACTTTGAGGCAGGTGTCCTTGAACTTGAATCAATTGTTAATAGCATCAAAAGGAGCAGAAAAACTATTTTTGTTGTAACACAGAATCTACTAAAAGATCCATTATGCAAAAGGTAGGTGAACATTGTGAAGTTTTAAGTATGTACTTATTTTTTTGATTGAGCTTTTAAATATTACTTACATTATGACTCACAACTCAAAGAATTTTAAAAATAAATTTCTTAAAAAATAACCTGATTATTAGGGACAGATAAAAACAAATTTAAGGAGGATGTGAGAGCTTTTGTCTGTTAAAAACTGTATACTGGTATATAACATATTTCAATATTTTTTTCCCTTAGATTCAAGGTGCACCAAGCAGTTCAACAAGCTATTGAACAAAATCTGGATTCCATTATATTGATCTTTCTTGAGGAGATCCCAGATTATAAACTGAACCATGCACTCTGTTTGCGAAGAGGGATGTTTAAATCTCATTGCATCTTGAGCTGGCCAGTTCAGAAAGAACGGGTAAATGCCTTTCATCATAAATTGCAAGTAGCGCTTGGATCCAGAAATTCAGTACATTAAGTTTATTTCAAGAATAAGGTAACAGAGGAGTAACTTTCCCAACTTACAAAGTTTCATAGTCAATTTAGGCTTTATTTGAAAATAATGTAAATCTGTTTATTCATATTTAGAGAGTACTGTCCCATGATTCTATCTCTTCTATCTCTCTATTGCAGGCCTTTTATTACCAGCTGAGTTAATTGGACCCAAAATAAACATATAAGAATATCTTCTACAAATGAATATACAATTGGTTACTGAGGTCTATGACAACTTAAAAATTTTTTAAATATTCCTCATTTAAAGAAAAGTTAGAATTATGGGAAGGTTTCTGATAATTATATTTGGAGTTTTTTTAGATGCACTCATAGTAGAATAAGAGATAATTGTTTTAGTGGATACAATGCTATTTCAACTGTGAAAGAGTAAAGTACATACCCCAATTTTTAAAAGCTTAGGTATAGTATTTTTTCAACTGGAAAGCTTTCGTTTTAGTGGTGCCCGTCTCACTGTTGATTTTGTTAAGTGTTAAAGCCCATTTTAATATACAGATTCGTGGTCAGAAAACATTTGCGGTTCATTTTGATCACTTAGTAAAATAAATATTTTAGTAAATACTTACTTATATTTTCCTGATATTTGGGTTTCTGCTATAGGTGTTAGAAGAAACAATTCTCTTAAAAATATTACAAAAAAAAAAAAAAAGATTACAGAAAGGCTTGCTTCCTGAAGGTTAATTAGTAGATTGGCTTTGTGGAGATAAAATATTCTTTTCTCTTGGTCACACACTCAGGAGATGGCCCTGGTCAAATCATTTGGTCCCACTGGGATTCCTTGACTCCTGAGCTTGAAAATTATGGTGATAAACAAAATCTTAAATAATCCCATATAATTAATGATGACTATGGTATAGTGCCTTCACATGAAATATATTATGTCATAAAATTATATGCTATGTACATGTTAGTCCTCTTCTAGAAAGACTATTATTTTAAATTTTATTTTTGTCTTACAATGAAAAGAATCTAATTATTGGAAATAGACAAGAATAGCCTTTTAAAACACCTTTATAGTTCTGGTATTCAAATATAAGAGAGGGTTGAAATGATAAGCTGAGTTAATTTCTATATTAGAAGCACCTGTTTGCTAAATTTAGGGAGCATCTGAGGTATTGCATTTTGGAACTTTGATTTAAATAGTTCAGTATTCTCAGGGCTAAGCTCACAGAATCCTGAAGTAATATCCACTGTATTGCTGGTTCTGAAAGAGTCTCTCAACAATGTGAATGTGTGGAGGACTCATTTTCACTTTCCCATTATACATCATCCTTGCACACGAGACACTTGTTCTATAGCTTTTTTTGTTAAAGTGTGTTTTCTGCCTGTAAAATAATCTCATTTTATTTTGGCATCATAAGCTATAAATAAATAAATGAATGAATAAATAAAATTAAACTTTTATGATGCCAAAATAAAATTAACAATTACTATTTTTCTTGATGTGCTTTGTATGTTATCTATGTATCAATGGTCTCAATTTCATTAAAATATTTCTAAGTGAATTTTTCTTATGAATTAATGTTTCATCAGTTTGTGAAAAGGCTTTCATTCTCTTATTTATTTGCTTATAAGATAGTTGATCAAATGGCTACAACTTAAATTGAGTTCAAATGTCATTTTTTTAAAGTTGCTGAATAGATAGAAGATGCACAAGAGATGACCCATTTAACTGAATATAAGTCACGCTAATAAAAGGTGAGAGTCTTGACATGTGTTTGACCTACACAGGAAGAAACATCCTGAACTTCAGCAAGCTGTCCTTTATAATTGTTCTCAGGAGGAGTCCTCATCCCTGGGGTTCGAAACAAGGGAAGTGCAGAAAAGGATGTTTGTCTGACCTATTTAATTTCCAAGAGTGAAGTGGCTTGCTTGAATGCTCTCAAGGTGCCATCATGTTTTCTGTTTACTCCATCTTCTTCCTGTTTTTCACTTTCAAAACAAATTCCACCTGAATCAACATTGAGTTTAAAATCAACCTGGGAATTTAGATTTTACCTAAAAATGGCATCTTTTTGACTGTAATAAGAAGTAAATGCTATCGTTAGCATTTACGAGGGGGGTTTTGTTAGCGAGGAGGGGGGTTTTCAATGCCATTTATTTAATGATGTCTAATTATTCAAATGTCTACCTTAGGTTATTTGTAAAGGGAACTCAATAGTAACTGATGGTGGCCATTGGAAAATGTAAAGATGCTCAATATGAAGAGCTTAAAAAATATTTCTTGCAATCTATAGAGGTAGAAAGCAGACTAGTGGCTGTCTGGACCTAGGGATGAGAATGGGGAGTAACTATAAGTGGTGCAAGAGATTTTGGGGTGATGAAAATATTCTAAAATTGGAATGTGGTAATGATTGTACAACTCTGTAAGTTTTTTACTAAGAATCATTGAATCATTCTTAAAACAGGTGAATTTTGTGGTATATGAATTATATATTAATAAAGCTGGTAGAAAAACAGTATTCATGGAGCAGTGTGCCTTGCCCTGTGCTAAGCATGATGGGGCACAAAGGAGATGAGCTAAATTTTAGAAAATGGGGCAAGAAGAGTTAGGGTAGGAAGGGACTATCAAAGATGGACCCGAACAAAAGTCTCCATGGAAGAGGATCAGACCTTTCAAAGGTGGGTAGGATTTTGTTGAGTGCAGAGGCAGGTGGCAGAATGAACAGTAAGATGGAAGGAAGGAGGCATAAACTTGGTGTTGGATGGTCACAGGGATGCTGCAGAGGATGGAACCATGTTGTAGAGAGCATGAGAGAGGAATTTAGATTTAAGGAGTCAGGTGTTTTGAAATTATAACTTTATGGGTTTCAATTGGCAAAACCAGAATTAAAATAAAATTCCTTCCTGTGATCTACGACTTAGATTTCTGTGACAACTCGGTGAATAGAGGATGTAACTTCTAACTTGACAGTACAAATATCCAGGCATACTCCCACATCACAGAAGGAGACTTAACGCACTAATTTTTTCCTATAAACATGGAAATCTATATTAAAGTAACCAAAAGAGGCCAATTAATTGGTCATTAGTTGCTAATTACACTAGGTGATATATTAGCCATTTTTAGCTCCTGCAAGTCCTTAGCCTTCTCCATCTTCCTGTGCAAGGGAGAAACTGGTTCTGTCATGTGACTTTCCCCCCACCCACTTCGTGAGCCATCTTGCATACATTGGGCAGGAGTCATGGGACTTTTCACTGATGGAACTTTTCTGGTTCTATGTGAGAATTGCTGGGTAGCCAGTTTTGAATTCTTAGCTCCCCTTTATCTTAAGTCAGTTCCCCAGGAAATAGACCCTGGGATGGAGAGGTACATGCAGCAGGTTTGGGGGTGTGCTCTGATTTATGAGGGAGTGAAATCAACTGGATTGGGAAGAGGGAGAATGATGATCTGCGATGCAATTGCAGGTTGCAGCAGAGGCCCTAGCAGACCCTAGGAGACCTCACAGGTTTCACGCCAAAAAGGGGACTGGACCACTCTACCCTCATCTCAGCCAATCCATATTGGATGTAGGTAGTCCCAGGGAGGAAGCATGCCCTTGAGCAAAAAGCTTTGCCAAAAACAATTCCAAAGGAGGAGCTCAGTTGGGAAGCATGAGGAGTGAACTCTCCGGGCAACTGGAAGAATAGGTGCCTGGGTCCTGAAGGTGAGATCTGAGCGGTTCCCAACAGCATCCATGACACCTTCCAAGGGATTTAAAAATTAAAATAGATATAGCTCAGTTGGTTTCTTTGAGCACTTCTGCAAGCTTCCAACCATTTTATTTTTTAAAAAATATAGTCTCTTCTAGACATTCTGGAAAACAAATGGCTTTATAGGAAGCCAACATTTAAAAAAATAATAATAAGGATGCTTTAACATTGTCAGTGTCTTCCAGTCAAAGAACAAGTTGGGTTTATTACTCACTGAACTGAAGGAGGATACACAGCATGGAGATCTAGGGGCGGGGGGGGGGTCTCAGTAAGAAGGTATGTGAAAGGTTTGGGCTTTTCTTGGGTGATTTGGGGGGAGGGCATACAGAAGCAGAGTTTCCTTCTAGATTTCATGCTGTTAGAGGAGGGGGAAATTTTGTGATGCTGTTAGAGAGGGGGCACCTTTATCTCAATAAAGCTTGTCTGTAGAGAGAAGAGACTAGAACCCAGATGAAGTTGTACTTGGTAAAGAAGTAGCAGCTTAGCCAAGAGAGGAGTGTTTATGGCATTTTGAAGGTAACACCATGACCTTATTTTTGTCTGTTCTTATACAAAATTAGGAAGTGGTCATGCTTTGTCTCATTTTATAGTGTCAGCGTTGCCTTGTCCAAGGTTGATATTCTGTGGGGATGTTTCTGTCCACCAAGAGGATAACGTGGCCTAGCTGTGAGTGCTGGGCTGGTTCTGGATGTCAGGGGCTACTCTTTGCTTTTCTCAGCGGCTTTCAATGCAGGTATCTTTTTGGCTCCTGGAAGAAATACCGTTTCATCTTAGTGAGCACTTGGTTTCCAGTGCCAGAAACTCAACGTTGTTTAGGCAGAAAGGGAGAATGTTTGTGGTCTATAACCAAACGGGAAAAAGGCAGGGATATAACCAGCTGTCGAGGAGAACTAGAACAGGGACTCAAACACGACCACACCTCATCCCTACTCCTCTCTGTACGTTAGTTAATGCCCTTGGTTTGTACTGCTAGAAGGGGGTGTGTGTGTGCACGGGATCTCTTAGGCTCCCAGTTCACGTCCACAATCCCAATTTCTAAAACCTCAGGAAAGCCCTCTGATTAGCCCAGTTTGGGTTATATGTCCATGCCGTGCCATGGCAGTGGGGTCCTGTGGTTGGCAGCACCCACCAGAACCAGGCAGATAGAATGCTGTTTCCCAAAGAGGGGAGCTGGACAGACCCAGCGGTTCATGACCACCATTTGAGACCTGTAGAACTGGCCTACTAAATACGCTGGACTTGGTGAGGTGCAAAAAGGAAACTGTGTTATTCTTTCTTCCTCTCAAAGTTCTTTTTAAGAAAATTCTGCCATTTGGTTGAAACCTCAGGCTTGTCATGGAGCTTTTCAGACACTCTTAGAGGGTACAAAGCGTTGTCCAACCTCATTATCACAAACCTCTGGTCCAGTAGTAATAACAAACTCTTGCCCAATTAGGCTTCTCTACTTCCCCAGCTGGGGTCTGCTTCCATCTGCTGGAAGACCCCTTTGATCCCATTGAAGTGGGTGATGGTGTTGGCTTCTTGTCTCTCTGCTCACTCCACCTGCTCTCCCACTGGCTAACTGAACACCTGTAGAATCTCAGGAGTTCAGAACACAGAGGAATGAAGGGACATCAAGGACAGAGACAGCTACACTTGACCGGTATGGGTATGATCTGGCCTCTGGGCCTTGGCAGCATAATTCTGGGTGGCTGGCTCTTTCTGTCATGGGATGCTTTTGTCACTTCTTCAGAGATGCAGAATCTTCCCTTGGAGCCTAACTCACAGGCGAGGCATGGCTGTGGTTAGCTACTCCCAGCACAGATTCTTCAGGTGACTTCCTGGCATCTAATAAAATGAATTCAAAACTTTCCATCACTCTGTCTCCACCCAATCTTTCAAACTTGTCTCCACTATAGCTGTATACATCTAAGGTGCTGATTGGTGTTCCTCACTGGTCTTCCAAGATAGCATCCCATAAAAGGGCCCCTGCCAAGTAAATGTGGGAAGCGCTGTATGCTATTCCTCCTTTCAGAAATACACAATGATCATCAGGGTATTACAAAGCTAAGATGTCCTGCTTTAAAGATAGGTATTTAACTTTTTATGATCAAGGCATTCCCTAAGCCAATTTGATCATAGAACCCTTCTCATCATTTGACTTGTTAACATCCTGCTTCCTGCATGTTCTGCATACCACACTTTTGCAAATCTAACCATAAATGTTAGACTAAAGTTTGTAGCAGTGGACATAGAAAGGAAACAAACACATTCCATTCTGTGAAAATATATGTTTACCGTGCAGAAATTTTATTATGTTTCTGGGGGAGACCACGAACAATAGAGAATCGGGGATTCGGGATGCTCCAGAATTTCCTCTAACCTCCTCCAACTCTGCAGTAACTATTCCAAGAATATGTTGGTACTCCGTTAGCAATGGTCCAAGGAGTTCTAGCCCCCATTGAAAACCTTAGTTCACATTTGAAGTTGTGTGTGTGTGTGTGTGTGTGTGTGTGTGTGTGAGATGTTGCTCTTTCTTCTCTTGCTTCACTTCCAGCACACAGTAAATAGTCACAAAATATTTGCTAGTGAATGATTAAAGAACCAAGTGAATGAATACACCCCGAACTCGAGCCACCTGGAACTGCTTGTGGTTTTGCTCACATGCCTGGCTCTTTCACGTTTCCATCTCTACATAAATGTGTTCTGCTTTCACGGCTGTCCTACATCCTTTTCTTGGCAAAAGCATGCAGTTTCAAGGGTTAGGTCAGGCATTGGCTTCTCCGATAAGGAGACCTAACCCTTGGCCTAATCTGACCTAACCTTGAAACTTAGAGCCTTCCTAAACACACCTCCTCCCTGGGATGAGTTAGTTGGCTTTTATCCTGTGCCAAGCACTCTTGGATAGAAGAGCTCAATCTCTTAAACAGTGTGAGTGCCTGCAAAGAGTCTACAGAGGATGTAACCTTAAGACCCACTGTGGCCAGTGCAAGAATCTGTGCAAATCCTGGATAGAAGGGGCTTGGTGTCAGCCATGTGACTTTGGAGGGGGCTCTTGGGTCAGAGCCTTTTCTCTGCTCTACTTGTTTACAGAAGATAACCTTTCAGTGCAAGGGGATTTGAAGACCTGTTCTGCTCTGGTTGTTTTGGTGTAAAGCAATCTTGACTGGGATAAACACTGGGTCAAGTGAGATCGTCCTTCCTCAGAGAAACCCTGTTACCTAAGCAGTGGTAAGAAACAGAGGGTCCCTCTAGACTTCCCTGATAACAGTTCCAACTTCCCAGCTTGGCCGCTTAGTGATTCTGCAGCTTCTGATGTAACCTCTCTCTAGTGGCTCATCTGGCATTTTCTGGCCTTAAAGTGTGTGTGTTCCCAATACCAAACCTACCCCAGAGGAGAGTGGAACAGGCAGAACTACCCCCCACCCTCACCCCCACACTCATTAGGAAACATCTGGTGATTTCTGAACACAAGAGGAGGTGCTTAAGGGATGGTCTAGGGGTGGGAAGCTGGAGTTTCTGTTAATCTTGGCACGGTATGTTTTGAACATCATATCTTTGAACAAATTCCAAGGGGTGCCATTGGGTCCACTTCAAACTTTAAGGACAGATTTGCCTATCACATAGTACATCCTCCCTGTTCCTTCTATCTCTCTTGTTTCTCTTATCTGCTTTTGCTATTCTTTTCCCTCCTCTGTTCTACACCTGGTGTGGAGGCATGCTTAGGAGAAAAACACAAATCATATTAATTTAAAAAATCCCTCAGAGGAAAATATTATTGTACCCTTGATCTATCCTTTTAGGACCATACTCTACTGCAGAGTGGCTAAGCTGCTTGGGCAGTATTACTCTTGAACTTGTAAACACCAGAATGCATTCTTCTGGGCAGAAAGGTAGGGGAAAGGGTCATTGGGCCTTCATGGGGCAAAGGCTTTTTTCCAAGCCCAGGTATCACTTCTCAGCTTGGCTGTACTTGGAGAAAATTATACTTGTGGGTGTTATCAAACAACACCAAAACACAAGGGAATCCCCTATCTAAGATGTGGCCGAGTGAAATATCTCGCATATACTTTGCAGATTTAAAAATATATGTATATCTATTCAAGTCCTTAGCCCATTTTTTTTCCTTAACCCATTCTTAAATCAAGTTATTAGGTTTTTGCGTGTGTGTGTGTGGGGGGGGGGGTTGGTTTGTTGTGTTTTGTTTTGTTTTGTTTTGCTGTTGAGTTACAGGAGTTCCCCTAAAGTTTCTAGAACCAGTTTTGACGTGTGGTGGTGGTGGTAGTTTTCCTGCCCTACTAAGCAGTTCTCCAACACCAACTGGGTGTCCTACAATTCAACTCACTTCCAACACTGTCTCCTGGGAGGTACGGTCAGATCCCATAGTTTAAGGGCTCAGTCCTGCAAGACTGTTTTCCCCACCCCTCTACGTCAGAAACCAGTCACAAGTCCAGGGTGTCCCCAGTGCTTCTGACAGACCAGCTACAGATCAATGACCCCCTTCTCAGGTTTGACCCCTTATTGAGTGCTATGGAATGTGCTATGATTATAAAGCAGGATAACCCTTATTTCTCCTTCGC